TATATCTATCTATAGCTATATCCTATATATCTATATATCTATATCATCTATATAGATATATGTGGGTAAATATAACTCCTGAACAAGTCAAAATTATGGAACTCATTGCTATGAGGTGTAATTGAGCTCAAGCATATATTTTCAGAATACACATATACTTTACTGGTATTTAATATTATGCCTTCTGATTTGATTGTATATGTTCTCGGTACTGGTTTTAATGCATTTTATAGATGTGCCTTTCTAACATCTTCCCCCACAGTAAAAAAATTACAAGGAAAAAATTTAAAGCCACTAAAAGAGATATTCAGAAGTACTTTCCACTGCTATTCACTTACCTGTGGTGCTGACAGTATTTACAAGAATGTTAGAACTCTGTTGAGATGACAAAGTGTGTGTAATACTACCCATTACAGCTTTTGGGGCTTTTTTTTTTTTTTTTTTTTTTCCTTTTTTTTGCAGGTGTGTGAGGTGGGGCAGGGACAGGAATTACTACTTTTCTCTGTCTGTGATCTGTGGTATTTTCTTTATGTGTGTTTGATCAGGCACACCGTTGCCCAAGTCATTCTTCTTTCCTAATCTTTTATATTGGCTTAACATACAGATATATTGGTGCCAAATTTTCTCTTCCTTAGTTTTTAATATTCTTTGTTTTCATTTCCCCTGTGGCTGGAGAACTCTCAAATATGTACAAGTAGGATCAAAATTACTGAACACATCAGAATTTCTGCGTCATTATATGTCCTTATATGTCCTTGATAAACACAATATGTAAAAATGCCAGCATTTGTTTCTCTGAACTGTAGAATCACCTTGTACTAAATTACCTCTATTTTGAATTATCTGTTTGAGTCTGTTCATGGTGATTGTAGGAACTGCACAATACCTCCACTGAAATAACTCACATAGTTTCTTTTGCCTTTATGCACCACCTGCATATATTTTTGAATTCACCTCTGTCCTGCCATCCATTATATAAACCATAAACTTTCAGTGCATGTGAGCAGTCAGGGATATCAGACTTAGTCTATCACTATTTCTCTACCTCTCATATTTTTCTTTCCTACTTCAGCTGTTTTCAGAATGTAACAGGACTTAAACCTGTATCATGACTTTGCAGCAGCAGTTATCACCTGGAAGCAGTTTACTTTCATGCCTCAAAGCCTCATTCAGAATAGTTAGGATAAGGTGCCTCATTTAATAGGGAAAGAGAAAAATGGAAAAGATTTCATGGAAGTGGCCTCCAAAGCAGCCTGAAGAAATAATCTCAGTCGGATGCAACAGGTGAGCAGAAATGTACTATTGAAACACACTGGCAGTTGTGATGCACTTTTATAGACCTTGAAGTTAGTTCTGACTTAAACTGCCCTGCCACAGCTAGGACTAAATAAGCTTTTTTAAGCCTCCAGTGACAATTCTTCAAGAGACAAATAATGAGAGGCTTTTTCTGGTAAGCTTCTCTGACAGAGGCATGGTTGCAAGCCAATGGACACATGTAGGCACTCTCAAATGAAAGGAATGACATGATAACCTCTAGGAAGGCTTTGTCCAATGCATGATAATGATGACTGCTTATTTTTAGATTTAATAATTTTAGAGCAGGTTTTTATTATCTAGCCTCAATTAGTTAAAGGAGGTCTTACAAAGTTGGGGAAGCTGTGACACTAGTACTATTAGCTGGAACTCAGAAATTATATTGGTAGAACAAAAGAGGAATGTAAGATCAATTTCATATGACATCTCAACTTCTATGTAAAAGAAAAAATATCAATAGTTTGAGGCTAAAATTCACTGTTTTTTGAGAAAATACTACACCACCAGAAACACTTTTTCATGTAGAGAATTGAAAATTCTTTCTTATCCAGAAGAAAGAATGTAAAGAAAAGTGTGGATTTTCTTCCTCTAGTAAAACACATTGTTATATGAAATGTACTTTTAAAATTTATAAAAATTTTAATGAGTCAGGAGAGATATTTTTCCTCCTTCTGGTGTTTCTTAAAAGGCACAGTCAGAGTTTTCAGGGTCTTATGCATTTCCCTGGAAATAATATAATTTATTGTTTTGACTTTACTTGGACCATGCTTTGTGACTATTATTATTATATATGCATAGAATGATAAAAATTGAATTATATATATAGGAAAGAATACTGTCTAGGCTAATGGTACTGTTTGATGTAAAACCAATCAGAAATATGTTTTGATTTTGGAAAAGAAGACTAGTGATCATTTTCATGATTTCCCTCTTTTTCCTTGGGTCTAGGATATGTCATTTATTTTCTGCATTTTCAGCTGGCTGTAATTCACATCTCAAAGGACTGACTGATGCTTCCTTTGAGATCCTGCCTAGGGAAGCATACTGGATTCAAGTCTAACTTGGGTCTCCAGACTCTGGTTAAAACTCTTCAGAGGCAGAAGAGAGCACTAAATATAATGCCCTGTACCCTTTTGTTTGTGTGACATGCTGCACAGTGCAGTTTATCTTATGAGTGCCACTTGTGAGCAACTTGTGGGAGAGGTTTCCCACATCTTGCTGTCACAGCATCTTCTTCCTTTCTGCCTCGTTTGTGAGCAGGTGTGGGAGGAGATGGTCTGGAGCACCAGCCTGAGGATGTGGAAGGCTGCTATGGTCTTCTGGTGCTCACAAGTCCCCAACTGTACCAGTCTCTTCCAAAAATTCACTAGTGTATCTCAACAGCAAAAATGTGTGACTTCCCATGTGTACTGTACAATTTTATTTTCATTTGCAGTTCAGCATTGCTACCAATCTGTGCTTTTCTTTCACAAACAGTGTTATCTGGAGTTTGCTATGAAGTGAGGGAATTCTAGGTAAATTATTTATTCTGCCACTAGTATTTCCTAGTTTGGCAAAATTTGAAACACATGCTCTTACCAGAGTGTGTTCAGTCAGGGAGTTATTCTCTGGGTATAAATTTCAATCAATTTAATTTGATTTCTCCACATATTGGGAATTTTCTGTGTATGAAAATGACAGCCATACTGACACATGACTGAGCAATGCTAGTAGGAGTTACAGGTGTGCATCTAGCAAATTATTTCTAACAGGTAAATGAAACAGTTTTAATATTTGAAAATGATTTCACTTAAACAGTATGTAGCAATCTCTAGTCAACCATTATCTTTTCTCCTAATTCACACAATCCTTTACTGCTTTTCTGTGAGAAGTGATGGATCTGAACCTATTTTTCTCTAATAGGGAGAAGAGTTATTCTTCAAATTATTTCCACTGGTAGCAAATTTGAACAAACAAACATTTTAAGAGAAGGCTTGTGGTAGCTACATGGGTTTTGCATCTCATACTGCTATAGTGTATTGACACTGTAGCAATGTCAATGCCTTTGATTGCCATGTATTATATTTGATTCTGTCCTTCTCATCTGATGGGCTTCAGTTCTTTTCATCTGCTTTCACTTTTCTCTGGATATCAGACATCTGAGCAATGGAATTATCAAACTGGAGGGAACTGATTCTATGCCTTGATTTTCTGTATTAGAGAGCTTAGCAGTTATCTGGCTGAAGATTAAAATTCTTAAAAGCTTTTGAACAAAACATTTAAGGAGCCAATACTTCTATTATCATCTAGGTAATCCATTTATTTATTATTGTCCTAGTTCTGCTCCCATGCCTGTTTTTTTTATATTTTGCTACTTTCTGCCTTCCATTCTGCACTGTCTCTTCTCCCTCAGCCTGCAGCTAAGGGATTCCGTGAAAGGTCCCTTTGTTTTTCCCTTTCCTGGCACCATATCTATTGAGTTTCTCCTCATATCCTCTTCATCACCCACGCAAGTCCTCCCACCTAACCTGACTGATTTGGACTTGTGCTTTCAAACACCTTTCTGGTTGGTTTCCTCACCTCTGTTGTTCCATCTGGAACATCTCTTTCCACTTCTTGCTGGAGCTGCATTTGATAGAGTGATTGAGTAAGCTGAGTTGGAAGGGATGCACAAGGATCATCAAGTTCAACTCCCAACCATGCACAGGACCAGCCCCAAGAGTCACATCATATGCCTGAGAGAGTTGTCCAAATCCTTCTTGAACTCTGTCAGGCTGGTGGTGTGACCACTTCCCTGGGGAGCCTGTTCTATGCCCAAACACCCTCTGGATGAAGAATCTTCTCCTGATATCCAATTTAAACTTCTCCTGGCACAACTTCATACCATTCCCTTGTGTCCTGTCACTGGTCACAGTGAAGAGATCAGTGTCTGTCCCTCCTCCTCCCCTCATGAGGAAGTTATAACTGTGACGAGTTCTGTCCTCAGTCTCCTCTTCTCCAGGCTGAACAAATAAAGTGACTTCATCTGCTTCTCATAGGGCTTCTCCCTCAGATCCTTCACCATCCTTGTTGCTGTCCTTTGGATGCTATTTAATAGTTTAATGTCTTTTTCACATTGTGATGCCCATAACTGCACTCATGCAGGTATTACTGATCCCTGGATTACCTTTTCTTCCCCCCTCTGCTACCCAGGTTTTCCTACTCCCTGCATCTGTTTTCTGTGGTGGCTGCCTGCCTCCCCATACATCCTGTCACCAGCACACACAAACAGGGCTGTGGTGGCAGCTCCACAGAGGTGAGCAATAAGTGAACAGGTATTCAAAAGTGGTATGCAATAAATAAATATCCAAGAGCCTCTCCTGAGCTTTCTATATATTTGACTTTTATTGACTTTTAATTTTCAGTATCTAAGGCATATTTAAAGTGGCTGTGGTTTGCTCATGAGATCAAATGTTGTTTCTGATCATTAGACTTTCCTGACTGCTGGATACATTTGAAGCCTGCTCCTGTGAGCTGTTAAATTAATAATATCAAGTGTATAGCATAAATTAATATTTATTGGTCAAGGATCTTGAATGCACTTTGCTTTGTTGTTTGAGTACAGGAAGACTCAGTGTAGGATCAAAGAAGATAAATTTTGCCCAGGGCTCATGTCCTTTATTAGATCATCCAGTTCAGAGAAAACATGCAAGAGAAACCTTTCCTGATTCCTATGAAGGTGTCTACCATTGAATTAAAATGCCTCAAGGCAGCAGATCATAGTTTAAAAGCCTTTGATAGATGAGTGAGTGTGTGTGTGTGTGTGTGTGTGTGTGTGTGAGTGTGTGTGTAACCTTGGCTAGCATTAGCCCATCAGTTGAGAATGTACAGCTATATCTCTTGGTGTTTTATTCAGGACTGTGACATGGAAATTATCTGTCAATACTTTTTCTGTATCAATGCTACTCAGCTTCCTTAGAATTCTGCTAAACTGGGCACTCTTCCCTGGCATTTTCCTCACACTCTCATCTTTCCTAGAATATACTTGTGAGAATTAAAGTTAGAGAACGAACACATTTATTGTTGACATTTTTAGGGAAAGCTCACTAAAAAAACAAATACTTTCTTACCTTTGGAGCAGTACTCTTCTTGCAAATAAATTCTCTGTGTGACACAAACGAGGAATATTGCCACTGCAGCCGTGGCTTCTCCAGTGTCACAGGGCAGTAATGAAATGCATCCCTCGGTACTTTTTATTTGAAGTGTGGGTAACATAAATCCTTCATCATATCAAGGCTATTTTGAACAGAACCAACAGTGAGATAAGATCATTTAATGAACTTTGCAGCCCCCTGCCTGAGATGACCGTGAAACACAGGCCCCCTTGAGACCATGCATCCCTCCCACACTGGCAGATACCTCAAAGAGCATGACTTGGCAAGTGATGAGAATTTTCTTTAAAATGCCTGCTAGTGTTATCCATTTTAATAATCTTCCTATGAAGCTTGAAAAATTCCACACTACTGTCTTAGCTGTAATGGAGGCTGAGATGGTGTGACAAATCACACTCAGTTTTGCATTACAAGGTGACTCACAGAAGTATGTGCTACTTTGGTGTTGTTTAATCTAAGGATGTGTGCTTGATTATGACCTATCACAAAATCTGTTCTCTTCAAGGCAATTGTCACAGGAATTGCCTGTATGTTTAGCGTTAGTTCATGAAATGCATTAAAGCAGCACTACTTTTACCATTTAGAGTTGTTATAAGTCTATTACAGATGAATGCTTATATCATTACATTTCATTTTCTGAGGAATATGTTTTGTGGGTTTGACTGGTGACAGATGCATGTACTTATCTCAGTTTTCATTAAATCCATCTACATTGCTAATGTACCATATGTGATGCTGGCTTAAGAAGTTCTTATGCAACTGCTGATTGTTTTAATCTTACCTTCTTTTGTTGTGATTTTTCAGCCCCAAGTAGCAAAAGCAGCAGCCATTAGATGGAGGTTTTCTGTAGCTCATATTTACTTATGTATTTTTTCTGCAGTTTTCTTTACAGCACAAAAACCCTGTGCAAAACCTAGCAGCTACAGCCTTTCTCTGTAAAGGAATATTTCATCTATTTCCAAAACCTGGTCAATACATTTTGATGAGGTTTTGGAAATAAATGTTTGGAAATAGAAATACTGTTTATAATTCCTTAGAGACAGTATCTATTAACTTTCTCTAGTGTGTCATTCCACCTCATATCATACAAGAACATGGAAATCAGCTTGTCCCTCCACACATGTGATAACAATGGAAGTATGGTCTCAGAGCTTTAGGACCATTATACATTGTGTTATTGAAAAAAGAAAACAACAACATAATATAGGTAAAGCTGATTTCTCTATTTTTGGAAAAATAGCTTAAATTCTGGCTGGCTTTAGAAATCACAAGCAAATACAATCTGCTGGGTGAATATTAAAAATAATATGGTATTATAGAAAGAAGCTGAAGCCCAGACTTGATGGAGAAGTGGTGCTAACCACCATGGTGCTGCAGACCAACAGAACTGCTTCCTTGCTATTTGACTCAGAACTTGAGTAATGTTTCCTTTTTACTAAGCAGATCTTGCTAAATTTGCAATGAATTTGAGGGCTTGCTTTGTTTCTAATGTAGTTGATACCTTCCACAAACATTTGCAAAAATCAAATTTCAGGAGGGAACTTCAATGTTCAGGCTTCATCAGACCAGAACATGTGTTTCTGGTCAGATATTCTGTAGAAGCATTGACATTTGCGCAGTTTAGATGCCCTGTGTAAAGGACAGCCAAAATGTGATAAGACATTGCACATGCTCTGGTCATCTGCAGTAGATTAGGTACATTGTTTATTACACTTGCTGATTATCTTTACAATGAACATTTCATCTGTGCATTCACAGTGACTTCTTATGAAAGACAAATGGTGCATCCAGAAATCCTGGACAGAACTAGCACTCTGCTGGACTACTCATAAGTGAAAAGCATTCAGGTGAGAGGTGACTGGAAAAACATAGTTCACTCTCAAAAGCAGGGCAGCTTTTATATATAGCCTGAAAACTATTCAGGCTGTTTGTGCACCTCAACCCTTATTTACTTCAGAAGCATATCTTACAGCTGCTTACCAGAAACTTCTTGGATAACAGCTCTCATGTCTAGTATGCAGAAGTTCTTGTAAGCACCTGCTTAGTGTTGTTAGCAGAGACCACAGAAGAATCTGCAAAATAATGGATGGAGTGTAGACCTTTGGGCCATTTGAGATATCACTTATCTGCAAGAATCAAATCCTGTCTTAGTGTGCTGACCGTGTGCTGTTGTTCATGTGCGGGAGAGTTGGAAATAAAAGCAGCAGTCAGGTCTTACTCTTGCATAAGTAATCCTGCTACATTTAGTCTGTATTTTGTCACCCTGGACCCTTCATTCTATGGTTATTCTTAGACCTGATGCTAAAGGAGAGGAGGTGAAAGGAAAAGACATTTCACAGAATCTTGCCAAATAAGTAAACATCTCATGCTTCTTTTCTCTTTGATGCTAGAGGAAATAAAATCAGGAGAGGTAAGTTTTTTAAGCAGATACTGCACCATGTTGTTGGGGTAACTTCCTTTTGTATTCACTGTGCACCTAGTATTCACATCCTTCTTATTCTGGATTGATGCAATGGCAGCTAGAAAGCTGTGAAGAGAGATTTCTGTCACTACTGGACAATGTCCTCATTGGTCCAGGAGCAGCACAGGTCACAGAAATTTTAGTGGCCCTCTTCAAACTTCACAGTTTCTAGAAGGGAGCCTATTACTGAAATGGAAAGTAGGAGTCTGATCAGTTTAGGTGTCTTTCTGTAGTGGCTGGACCCTGTATGGATTCCAGACACCCATTAAAGCCTCTCTGTCACTCTCCTTCACAAAAGGACAGGGTAGACAAAATATGACGAAGGTTCATGAGCTGAGATAAAGACTGGGAGAGATCACTCAGCAAATAGCATCACAGGTAAAACAGACTCAAATAGGGGTAAAGTAAAGTAAAGTAAATCTTAAAAACATCTTTCCCCTACTCCTCCCTTCTTCATGAACTCTACTTCCTCCCTCCAGCAGCATGGGGAGATGGGGGATGGGGGTTACAGTCAATTCAGCACATGTTTGTGCCCCTGTTCAGGGAGAGTAATCATTCCCCTGCCCCAGAGTGGGGTCCATACCACAGGAGAGAGCTCTCCACAAACTTCTCCAGTGTGAATCCCTCCCATGCGAAACTGTCATCCACAAACTGCTCCAGCTTGGATCACATGGTGCAGTCTTGCAAGGGTAGGCAACAGGGCCACAGACCTACCAGAAAACCTGCTCCAGTCTGAGCTGCTCTCTCCACAGGTCTGCCTGGACCCTGCTCCAGCAAGGGCCTTCTAAAGGTTCACAGCCTCCTCTCAGGCACCCACCTGCCTTGATGTAAATCTCCTCCATGGGCTGCAGGTGGATCTCAGCATCCCCATGGACCTCCCTGGGCTGTAGGGACACAGCTGCCTCACCACGGGCTGCACCAGGGGCCACAGCAGAATTTCAGCTCTGGTGCCAGAGCAGGTCCTCCCTCTCTTTCTGCACTGACCTTGGTGTCTACAGGGTTGTTCTTATATATTCTCACTCTGCTCTTCTCTGGCTGCACTTACAGCTGCACAATAACTTCTTTTCCCATTAATTATGTTATTCCAGAGGTGTTACCACCACTTCTAATTGACCCAGCCCTGGCCAGTGGCACCTTCATCTTTGAAGCTGACAGGAATTGGATCTTCTTAATATAGAAATTCTCATAGAAGCCACCCTTGTGTCCCTTGCTGATGCTGAAACCTGGCCACACAAACCCAACACACTACCTTCCCAAAAAAGCTGATTCTTAACTGATTTTCATGCTTCTGTAAATGCATGCAGTGTGAGTTTATTAAAACCTGCCTTGGAAAATAACCAGAAGTTCTTTACCAGGTCTAGTACTCCAGAGTGAAAAAGCAGGCAGGATGATCTCTGATGGACTGCCCTGCAGCCAATACCATCCTGGTACATGATATTTCCCCCTGTAGCACATGAATTGGTTTGAACACTGCTATGTTGTGTTGGCATATGAGAGTACATCTGGAGAAAACACACCTGCTTAGAAGGTTTTAACTCTGCCTGATGGGTATGACACTGACTGTTGGACTAAAAATTGTCATGACTGGATAACTGAAAAGTTATCCACTGGGGTTTATAAACTCATTTTTTCTCTCTTGGGACAAGCCTTGGATTAGGTGGTTGGGACTTGTTTAAATACCATTTAAAAAAAATCAGGAATTCCACTTCACATACAAGAATACCTTTCATCTAAACAGGATTTTTCCTCTGAGTGCATTCTCAATGCTGCATGCATCCTATCATCCATGCCTAGGACACACAATTGTTTTCTTTATGAATACCTCTTATACGATAATCTCAAGGTCAGTAAAGTGGCAGAATGAAGAGCTTACGTGTTTTATTAGTTGAATGAAACTTCTTACTGGCATCAGTTACAACACCCGAAACATTTAGAGAGGCTGCTTAATGTATTGTAATCATGATATTGCCTTTCTGCAATCAGAAAAATTAGATATGTAAGATGCACTAGTGGCTTTTCGTAATGCTCTTATTAGTTGCCTGCTTGAAGCTTTTCCATGCTTCTATTTTTTTTCCAGGACTGCTTTTCCAAGCAGTTTAAATTGTATCAAGCTGAAGTTTAGACAGTAGAGCTGCTAGATACACAGATGCTCCCTATGGAAGCATAATTAGCCTGACTCTATGCTCTGCAGGGGAGAAGTTTACTATAAAGGAAGGAAAAGGCTGCTGGCATCACCTGCTCTGTCCTAGCATTTCTATGTGTTGGACACTACCTTCCAGTCCAAATGAAATTCTATAGTGACCTGTCCAGAAAGGCTTCTATGATGTGTTGAATTTGCCTGCAATTTTGACATGGATGATTTCCCATCTTATTATGACACAGGAGTTAGGGAAAAAATTGTTCTAGACACCCTCAGGCATCAGTTTAATGAGTTCAAGAAAGAGATTTTTGATCCTCTGTTAAAATCAGCCAATGCAGATCCTGCTCCAGTGCACATATTGTTTGTGCTGGCATTGGGGCAGAAAAATTGTGGAGAGTAACAATATCTCAGTGGAGTAAACAGCATCTTAAGGGTTTTTTTACAACATTATAGTTCATATACATCC